GTGGGCAATTCATGATTGTTGCGAAATGTCCAACGAGCAATGTGATATCATTTTGCAGAAATGTTGCCTAAAACTAAAAGAAAGGATGCCTAAAACTATTCTTTTGCTGCCTTGCAAACACTCGTAAAAGGCAAACGGTTCAGTAAATGCAAGTCTAGTTGCTACTCATAATAGTCAGATTGCACTTCATTCATAAAGTCTGTGAGTGGATTGTTTATCAGAGTGTGTGGCATGTGTACATTACTAAATGGATAGCTCAGAACACACTAAATTGAGCATATAGTGACTCTCTTATTATATGTGGTTGGTAGCTATGTAAGAATGTGCTATGTAAAATTTTGGCTGTATTTTAGTAACAGCAGGTCATTAGTGAATATTTGTCTGAGGCCCCATAATGAGAGCCAGGTGGAACATCCCCAATACTGACTTCAGATCAGCCCAGAGCACCTCCGAACTCTGCATGGAACATCCACATCTCCTGACTCCAGAATTCATCAACATTGTTTTGGTTGAGCAGTTGTCATCATGTTTAGATTACAAACAACAAGAAGTGGCTGTCATTGAAAAACAAATTATATCCCATAAAAAGCATGCAAAGACAAACATTAAAAAAAAAAAAAAAACCCAGCTGGACGTTCTCTGCATTGTGTCTCGGTTTGGCTTCTAGATGATCTTGTGAGTGGCCTCTGAGCATGTCTGAGCTGTCTGATGTTCAGTTCTGGGCAGCACTTTAAAGGGCTCTTTAAAAGATGCGTGGGTTTTGTTGAGTATGTGGTCTTGTCTTAATCTGTTGCTGTTGTGTTTGCATGTACACATACAGTGTTCCCAGAAAAAGTATTTGAACACTTAAGTCACAATGTATTACTATCAATGCACTAGCCTCTGTACATATTCTTGTATGTACTGAGGGTGTATTTAATAGTGTTTGCTGAGGTTTGCTCATAGCTATAATACAGTATGAGCATAACTGTTATACTTGGGGTTCATTATTTTAACCCACCCCTAACCCTAATTAATCAACTTCAGCATGTAACTCTTCCTGCACTGTTCTACCAGACATAAATTAACTATAACAACCACTTGCATGACGTCATTAACAACCAACATGGTTCAAATGATGGATGTGCAACAAAGCTACTATGGATTCAGGAAATAGTTGTGAGCTAGTTAATTCCTTCAATGTGCATTGTACTGTGTTGCATAAGCATTGAGTTACATTGTTGCTTTTACCCTGGAAACACACTAGCAACCACATAGTAGCGCCTATACCAACCACCCAGGGTTATGTTTCCTGTATTACCAATATAGTCCAACAGTTCTGTATTTGCAAACAGCGTGACAAAGTTGTTGTTGGAAGTATAGTTTCTAATTAGTATGACATGTGGTTTTAAATAGATCAGGCAAAGCAAATTTAGCAAGCTAACGTGTACAATCTGTATCTTTCGTTCCATATATATGCAAATTTTATTTTACATCTTTTAGTTTTTGCATATGAGTGCATATAAGTCCCTGGGAAATCCCAATGAATAACTTAAGAGGGATCTCACAATGAAATCATAAATCATATCATAATATCATACATGAAGTCATACATGGAAATAAACCAAAACAACAGAGAACAGAAATAGCAAAGTAGTCCTCAGATTTCATGTTCATTATTCACAGCAATAATCTGACTTTAATTAAATCTCAGACTGATTAATTCAAAAAATATTACTCCACCACCTGCTTTAACATCATTGGAGACAAGTTCTATTGTTGAACCAACATGATTCAAGCCACGAATGTGTGACAAATTTACTATGGTTTCAGGAAACAGTCATAGCTAGTTAATTTCTCCAACGATGCGTCATACTTGGTACTTAAGCAGCGGAAACACACTCCAGATCAATTGGCTGTGAGTTTAGTTTGTGCAAACACCACTCACATTTTCTTCATAAAAATCACAATGAGAATTCGCTTCATATGTGAATACACTGTGAATGCAATAGTATCCTCTTTGTGTCTGGCCTAACTGAAGACTTGTGCCCTACTTGTGATGTTAGTATGAATTGTGTGAGAGAAAACAAACAAAAAAAGCAAAGTTTCTGTGCAAAAAAAAAAAAAACCTGTGTTTTTCTTCCCCTCAGCATCGGATGTGAGTCCTGCTGGATTTTTGAGTTAGAGCTCCTGACCACAAGTCTCAGAGTAAAGACTTCAAACTGAGAGAGTGTACACAAGAAAAAGCAGCAGCCGACATAGAGGAAATACCAGCGCTACTCTGATTTAATAGATATTTCACAGCTAATATTGCTATTTTTGGGCAAATCTGCACTAAAGTGGACCTGTCACCGAGATGTAACTTTTGACTGAAAGGAAGAGAGGCCAGTCTTGACGTGCTCCTAGAAACACTTGCTGTATGGTAAAGTTTTTCTTCTAAAGTTTTTTTTAGCATTGGAATTTTGGAAGGGCATCTGGAATCAATCTGTTGTCTAAGCCATCGAACCGTATACATTTGTATATTCAATCTGAAATCCATTGCAGCTTGCAGTAGTTAGCAGTTTCCTCTGAATTGTGTTTTTGCCTGTGAAGTAGATGTGCGGTACTGCTGATTTACAGACAGAGAGGAAGATTGTGTTTCATGATTTTATTCTGGTCTCCTACCAGTGCACAATGTTAAACAATTTCACTGAGATCTGTGGAAATGATACATGCCAACATTGGTAAAAGAGAGGCTGAATGGAGAGGGATTATCCAAACGGTGTCCTTATTAGACAGGGTCAGCACACAGATTTGTAATGGTTGATAGAGCCAAGAGAAAACAAACAGAAAGAGATCAATGAAGTGAACAGGAGAGAGTCTGAGTTCTGGAGCACTTCACAAGAAGCACAGTTGTACCGCTCCCATAATGACTCAGGCATTTGTGTTCATTCTTTTATAGACGGATCAGGTGCTCTTTTCATCATGCTGATCTATAACGGATAGACATTTCAATGCTGTAAAAGACAAAGACTTCTCAGGATGAATGAAAATAATGCATGATTAGTGGTGGTGCATGCTAAGGCAAGTTCAGTGCTAATTTTGCTAAGCAAAGTTTTTCATAAATTATGTAAATGTTATCCTAAAGGACAAATTACATCTTTTCTGGAATCAAAAGATCATCTTCTCAGAACATCTTCGCCACTGAGTAATATATATACGGTTGCATTATTTTTACCATACAGACATGCCCTTACAGTGTACTTATCTAAGAAAGTATCGGGTAATATAAGGTAACTGCATGGGCTACAGTTAAGTTTTGGGGTAGGTTCAGAGTTAGTACCAAGTTATTAACCAGTTATTGTAATCACTATAATAAGTACATATTATGTGCATGTGGAACAGGACTGTAAAATAAAGTGCTACCGTATTACCCAATTCTAAGGTGCCCAATTATGCTTTTGGAGGGCCAGCGTGTTGCATCTTTTGGATTACAGCAAACATCCAGGCCCATCTGAATGCAGAAAAATGAAGGCAACAAGGCACATACGAATCTAATGATGGTGACACTTCCTGTCTACAGAGATACCTTCATCTGATCACATTTCAAAGGCAGCATAGATGTCGGCTTTCCTTCACTGTCGATAATATCCCACTATCCTGTGCATTTGAGTCTGTGACTTGAGCTAAGAAATAAAATGGAATCTGAAAGTTGCACTCGGTGGACATTTTGTGTGTAATGTATGCTTTTAACTAACTTTTGATTTAATTTCGAGAAAGAAATTAGAGCTGTAGTAATTTAATAATAATTTAGTTATCACCAACAGTCTCCCCATTTAGTATTAGACCATTATACTGCCTCAGAAGCCTGTCCGAGTTTAGGGAGGCACCTTCAGATGTAAACACTGTCTGTCATTGCCTGATAGGGCAGCAAGGCAACAAATCAGCTGCCTAAGCTTTCAGATGCAGCCTTGGATTACAACAAAACTCCATGATGTGTTGTAGCAGGCTGGAGCTAAACTCTGAAAGACTTTGGCCCTCCAGGAGCTGGATTGGGCACTTATTACCACAGTACAATATCCAACAGTCCATTGTAGAAATCCTACAATGGTTCATTTTTGCACTTATTATAATCATGAAAGCTTTATGACAGAAAGAGAGGTGCTGCAAATTGGTATGAAGTTTTTCTTGTTCATCACACATCACTCACACACACACACACACACACACACACAGCGCTCTCAGGAAATAATTAAGAGAACTCTCTGCTGTTTGGTCTATAAGCAGGGCAATGCTGATAATCAGTTACTGAGTAACTAATAATGAAGGTTGTTCCCGTTTCTGTTCACTGGTTTTTAAGCATGTCCAGAATGCTTTTCATATTTGTCTCACTGAACCTTTTAATTATGGAACGGTATTGGCTTGCTTTACACACCCAGTAGCTTCCTTTGGTCAGACACAAGAATGCTCACTCGTTTGCTTGGACAGTCATGTTGACTAATTACTGCTCATCTAATTACTGAGTTTATGTGGTTGTATGCAGAGAAAGACATAGTTACCTGTATGCATGTTTCTACTAATCTGATATTTTTTTGGAGTCTTTATCTCTTAAAGGATTAGTTTACTTCCAGAGTAAAAATTTCCTGATAATTTATTCACCCCCATGTCATCCAAGATGTTCATGTCTTTCTGTCTTCAGTCGCAAAGAAATTAAGGTTTTTGAGGAAAATATTACAATATTATATTTTTCTCCATATAATGGACTTAAATGGAGGCCAACGGGTTGAAGGTCCAGATTGTAGTTTCAATGCAGCTTCAAAGGGCTCGACATGATCCCAGCCGAGGAATAAGGGTCTTATCTTGCGAAACGATCTGTCATTTAAAAAAAAAAAAAAACATTTATATGCTTTTTAACCACAAATGCACGTCTTTTTATTCTGAATATACCCTTTATATCTTTTTATTCCACAATAAAGATTTCCTGATAATTTACTCACCCCCATGTCATGTTCATGCCTTTCTTTCTATGTGATCTCTGTCAGGTACGTGGTTTTCCAGAGCCCCAGGTTTGCTGGTTTAGGAATGGGAAGCTACTGGTAGCAGGAGATCATTATTCTATGGAACAAAGTGCTCGTGGGACCTTTAGTCTGGCAGTCCAGGAAGTCCAGGATGAGGATGGAGGATGTTACACATGTGAGGCGGTCAATGATGCTGGGAGCCGCCAGGTTACCGTGGAGATCATTGTGGAAGGTAAAGCATCACCATGATGGGCTTCAGGTTTATCTTGAATGGGTGGTCTACAAAGATCAGAGTCAATGGTCAGTGTTAGGGTTATAAAATAATCTATGCTGTAGATTAAGCAAAAAAAAAAAAAAGATAAGAAGTCTTTAGAGAATATGTTGAATTAAGTTTATTTGTTGTACCGCATTGGATAATATGTTCATGATAATATAATAACGGGCACCAATTAAGCTTTTTTATTGTAAAAATAAATAAATAAATAAAAATAATGGACTTACAATAACAACATCATAGTTACCATATTTATAATACTATTTGCAGCTCCTCATGAAGCCTCAGGAGCTGAAAGGCACAATTTAAAGAGACAGGAACTAAAACAGAGCGTTTCAGACAGAGGGTGAAAAGAGGTGCTACAGCAATGTAGCAAGCATACGTAAAGCATAACAACAAAATGTAGTAATAACCAAATGTAGATCTTATGTAAAAACAAGAAACTGCCACTGAGGTGCGATAACTTTAATTCAACAGATATTCTCTGAAAACAATGTATCTTGTTTTAAGGATATTTAGATAGTTTACTGTCTTTTTGTAACGGTAGCTCTGCTAAGATGAAGCACATGATGCAAGGGTAATCCAAAACAGTCTTTAATCATAAATCCACAGGAGGACAAACAAGAAATCCAGGAACAGACCAGAACAGCAAAGCAAAGCATAACCAATGTTAATAACCGGCAACTGAAAGAACAGAACGCGGAGTATTTATACATACACAAGAAAGGGACTAATGACTAATTAACAGGACACAGGTGAACAGAATGAACTAATCAAGGGAACTAAGGAAAACTAGGTCAAACAGGGCAGACAGAAAACTGACAGACAAAGCATACATGTAACATTTCATCCCCTCCCCGGGAAGGCGCGTCCTCATGCCGCATAGAGTCCAACTGAGGAGGGAGGGCGGGGATTCTAGAGGAAGGCGTAGAGAAGGAGAAAGGCAGGGACTGGGAGAAGGTGATTACGGGAGGAACCATGGTGAAGACGGAGGGAGGAGCAAGGAGCAGGAGGAGCCAGGTGGAGATCCAGAGACCAGCCAGGATGGTGGCCCATGGTGGAGTCGCCGGAGGGAGGAGCCATGGTGCAGTTAGGACTGGCTACACCAGGGGGCCGACTGACGGAGACGGAGCCGCTGGAGGTGGAGACCCAGGTTAAGCCGAGCAGACGGAGAGCCAGGGCGACACCCAAAGTCCAGAGGGCCAAGGCAGAGCTGACAGCTCAGGCAACCGAGGCGAGGATCCGGAAGACCGCGGATGAGCCGGAGTGACAGAGGACGAAGGCGGAGCCAGAGGGAAGGAGGAGCCTGACAGAGCCAGAGGGATAGAGTGAAGAGGCAAAGTCGGAGGAGTGGAGTCCTAAGGTCGCGAATGGTCGACGACTGACCAAGGTGGAGCCGGAGAGACGAGGGAACCCGGTGGAGCCAGTGGGATGATGGACCATGGTGGAGACGAGGGAGCTAAGAGCCAAGGCAGAGCCGATGGGTCGGAGGACCGAGGTGGAGTACAGGGCTCAGAGGCTGGAGGCGGAGATAGGGGATCCTCACGCCTGGGTGGAGCTGGAGACTGGAAGGCCCAAGGTGGATCAGAGCGCCCAGATGGCGCTGACTGAGGGTAAGCTGAGGGACTGACAGGAACCAGTGGAGACAAGGCTGAGGAATTGGCTGGCATAAGAGGAGGTGGGAGAGGGAACTTAAGAGTCATAGGGAGCTCAGGAGACGGAGAAGAGCTGGACGGAACCAGCGGAGACTCAGGAGACACAGAAACACAGGGGATCACCTCCACAACCCAGTCAATAAGATCATCCTCAAAAATGTCCAAAAGTTCCTCAGAATATTGTCCAGTGTCCAGCTGCAGCTCACCCTCAGCGGCAGGAGTGTGAGTGGGGCTTCCCTCCAAGCCCTCGATCTCCACCAAAACTCCCTCGGGGACAGGCGATGTTGCTGGCTCACGCACCTGGTCAGACGAATCTAGAGGCTCAGGTTCCAGGGCAATTTCGGGTCAGTCGCAGATTCTTGCGCTGGCTCTCGTGTTGCGGCACGATCAGGCTCTCCATCTGCAGTGGGCTCAGGCAATTTCTCTGTGCAGCAGGATGACTGCTGGCTGGTCTCTGGTTCAGGAGTGGGGCTGGAGATGTCTTCCTCAGTGGGGCAGACGGAGAAATACAGTCCATTTTCCTCAAGCACCCACTCCCCAAAAGTGGCAAAACTCCCTCGAGGACTATCCCCAGACAGCTTTGCCTTGGACGAGGTGTTCAGTCCGACATAATAAAATGTACATAGGCAGCTGTCTGGGTAATGAGTTAGATGGATGAGGTCTAGAAAGTTCCTTGTGTGGTCCTCGAGGGAGCGATCCCCTTGTTCAAGGGAGCATAACAGCGGGGGGAAAACAAAAGGCAAGGGAAACAGACAAGTCCTCTGCACCTGTGTTGCAGCCTGGAATTAAACCACACCATGCTGGTTTCGTCTGGCCAGAGGAGAACTGGCCCCCGGACTGAGCCTGGTTTCTCCCAAGGTTTTTTTCTCCATTTCTGTCACCGATGGAGTTTTGGTTCCTTGCCACTGTCGCCTCTGGCTTGCTCAGTTGGGGGACGCTTGACTGATTCACACTATTGGAAGAAAGCTGAACTGGATGATGACATCACTGAATCATCAATGAACTGACTTTAGCTGGAAATGACTCTTTGTTATTGTCTTTTTGCATTATTGACAAACTATTTTGCTGTTTGAAACTGTAAAGCTGCATTGACACAATCAGTATTGTATAAAGCGCTATACCAGTGATCCTCAAATCTGGCTCGCGAGATCCACTTTCCTGCAGCGGTTAGCTCTATCCTAATCAAACACACCTGAGTTTGCTAATCAATGTCTTCAGGATCAGTCGAAAATAACAGGTAGGTTTGTTTGATTATAGGGTTGGAGCTAAACTCTGCAGGAAATTGGATCTCGCGAGCCAGATTTGAGGATCACTGCGCTATACAAATAATGCCGAGTTCACACTGCACGATTTTAGCCCGATTTTTCACTCGCCGACAGGGAAGGTAGTTTGCGGACCAGACAGAGCTGTCGGCAATTCTTCCTATTGTGAAGTCATGCAGTGTGAAACCCCCTGTCGCCGATCCATCGTGCAATGTGAACACAGCAGCAACTGAATGCTACCCCAGATAGTCACGCAGTGTGAAAACAACGGCGATCCGATGAGTTTGAAAATCGTGCAGTGTGAACTCGGCATAAAGGTGACTTGACTTGACTTGACTAATTAACAGGACACAGGTGAACAGAATTAACTAATCAAGGGAACTAAGGGAAACTAGGTCAAACAGAGCAGACAGAAAACAGACAGACAAAGCATACATGTAACACTTGTGTCTTGCGTTATTACACAAAATGTACAGCATGATCTTTTATGAGGATTTTTTTTCTTGGAGCTTGACTTTTTAAATCACTTTCTTTCACTGTTTGACAAAGAGAAGCTTGGACATTCTGTACCAATTCCACAGTTCCACAGAAGAAAGAAAGTTATACAGACTTTTGGGTGAACTGTTCCTTTAACATTTTATTGTAACAGTTGAATACAGATGTTCCTAGAGACTGTCTGTTCATATTCCTATATTGACGTGAATAATCTCAGTACAAGAAACACAAATTACACCACACTGCATACTTCAGCAGAAAGCCTGTACATACTACAGCATAAACACTAAACTGTACATTATTCTAATACAGTTTTCTTTGCAGTTTACCCTACAGTGCATATACTCAAAAGTTTACATTATAGTGTATACTGCATTTCTCATTTTACACTCTTTTTCCTACAGTAAACATGTCCACATTTAGAGATGCAGCACTACATCTGTACTGATTTACAGACTAATAAATTCTTAATAAACTTCCATCGGCATACTTCACAGAAACACAAACATATGGAGCCGTTCAAGTACTTTACAACTAGCAACAGATAATAGCATGCAGCTCAAGCCATGTTTATGAAGGAAGGAGAAATAGAGAAAGATGAGAGGGGAAATAATATCTGCTTTTAATGTAATGAATTCTGTGTGTTTATGGATAAGTGTATACTTTGTATTTGGAGTATCATGATTATCTTTTTCCATCCCACACAGGAAATGCAGGAAAAAAATACAGTCTTACTTCCTCCAACAGAGCAGGGTGAGATACATACTGCCTGAAAAAGGACACGTCATGCATGAATATGAAATACACAACGTACCATATCCTTTTGGTAATGAGTATACCCTGTTTAACCTGATATACATACAGTATATATATATATATATATATATATGAATCACAACAATAAATTTGATTTAAAGCAAAAAACCATTGACTACTACAAGACATTATCACTAAAATTAATTTGGAAAAATTTGTGATTTTAACTTCTATATTCTATTGTGACCATATGAGGAAAATCCTACTATAGTAGGATTCTGGAAGTTAAAATAAAACAAAAAACATCTGCCAAAATTTGATAAGCGAATGAAATCTCTGTCAAATTTGCAATTTAATCAACATTTTGGCCATTTTGTAGACATAATTTACCAATTTTAAAAGAAAGACTTACCAGAAACAGCAAATTAATGTAATGAATTATATTACTGCATTTGGTCCTGTGAATTAATAGTGTGACATACGTTTTCTCTCCTCTGTCTCCAGTGGATCTCTGGGTGTCCCTGCAATAGAGAATAGACCCAGTATCTGGGGTGAAAGCCCCCCAAAGTTTGTGACTAAACCTTCTCGCCTGTATCTCAAAGTGGGACAGAGTGGCAAATTCTCAGCCAAGATCACGGGACGACCCCAGACACTGGTGCAGTGGTATAAGGTGAGACACGATTAAATAATATCTCAAATCACAGGTTGAGCCATAATATATCCATTCCCTGCATTTCCTCTGTCAGGCAGAAGAGAAGATCCAGCAGTCCGATCACTATAACATGTTTGAGAGGCCAGGAATGCATTTCCTGGAGATTCGCCACATGTGCTCAGAGGACGCTGGTGTGTACACTTGTCTGGTGGCCAACAGTGCCGGGAAAGCCTCTGCAACCGCCGAACTTATTGTTCAAGGTAACACAGAAGGATCGATGGATAGAGAAACGTGATAAAGATGTGGGGCTATTTCTCAAGGGCCCTCTTTTTTTCACATTTTGCCCTCTTTTGCAAAGTAATTTGTAAATGGAGAATTAAATCTCATTATTTCAGCTTTATTTCTCACAGTTGCAAATTTCTCATTGTTTGGATAGTAGCTCCATCTCACAATTGCAACAAAATAGGGCCATCATTTGAGACTTGTGCCTTGGGTCCTTGTTGGACCATAATCCATCTTTGGTAACAGAATGTCCCAAAGATGTCAAAGCAATAACTACAGTATATGGGTTTCATTAATGTCTTAATGTTATCCAGTTCAGCTAAATAGCTCACAGTTCAGATTCTGAAGTTCTCAAAGTTTATTCTGTTGTTCTTTTGCAGATGGAGACACTGAAACAGTCACGTAAGTGAAGAGCTTTTATTTAGTCCTTTCAATTACAGTTTGCACTAACATAAAGTTACAACAAAATACCAAATTTACAAGACAAGACAGAATCTAGTATTTTATAGTGTTTTTTTTTCTTCTGATAAATATTTCAAAAATCTTTTTAATCTACACAATGAATCATATAACTGCCATCAACTTGGTGGGCAAATTTCAAAGTTCTTAATAATCGTAAAAATGTTTTCTGTACGCAAAATATAATTTTTTATTATTATTTATTTATTTATTTTATTTTACTTTTTACTTTACTCATGTGTGGCCTATATGACTTTAAGAGTGATTCACTCTAGTCTGCAATCTGGGTTTTCAATCTTTGAAATGATCGATGAAATGACCACCAAATATGATGCCACATTATTGAGTTTGTAAATATAATTTTATATTGCAATAATTTCACATTCAATCTTCAAATTAATATAGAAACAACATAAAGACAATATTTGTTTAATGGCATCTTTTTATGACTGAAGGCAAATATCACTAATACCAATATTGCTGATGTCTCTGATATTTTTCTTTCTAATATTTAACCATTGACTAGCCATTCAACATTACAGTATAATTGAGAGCTATCAATATTAAAATTAAAAAATAACTTTTAATTTAAGTGAATTTATATTTATATTTAAATTCACTTAAATTAAAAGTTATTTTTTAATGTTAATGTTAATATATATATATATACAGGTACATCTAAAAAAATTAGAATATCATGAAAAAGGTCAATATTTTTTGTCACTCATTTCAGAAAGTGAAACCCAAATTTCAGTGTCTCAGAAAATTAGAATATTGTGAAAAAGTTAAATATTGGAAAGTCATGGTGTCACACCCTAATCAGCTAATTACCTCAAAACACCAGCAAAGGTTCCCTGAACCTTTAAATGATCTCTCAGTCTGGGTCAGTAGGCTACACAATCATGGGGAAGACTGCTGATTGACAGATGTCCAGAAGACAGTCATTGACACCCTCCACAAGGAGGGTAAGCCACAAAAGTTCACAGAGTGCTGTATCGGTTGTTCACAGAGTGCTGTATCCAAGCATATTCATAGAAAGTTGAGTGGAAGGAAAAAGTGTGGTAGGAAAAGGTGCACCAGCAATGACAGAACTGGAGAGGATTTGCAAGGAGGAATGGCAGAGGATCCCCAAGTCCAGGTGTGAAAAACTTGTTGCATTTTTCCCAAAAAGACTCATGGCTGTATTGGATCAAAAGGGTGCTTCTACTAAATACTGAGTAAAGGGTCTGAATACTTAGGACCATGTGATGTTTCAGTTTTTCTTTTTTAATAAATCTGCAAAAATGTCAACAATTCTGTGTTTTTCTGTCAATATGGGGTGCTGTGTGTACATTAATGAGGAAAAAAAATTAACTTAAATGATTTTAGCAAATGGCTGCAATATAACAAAGAGTGAAAAATTTAAGGGGGTCTGAATACTTTCCGTACCCACTGTATATATATATATATATATTCACATAAACCCATTATAATAAATGTCATATTTACCTGTGCCCTTCAGCAAGTAGAAAATATGCAGAAACTGAATAAAGTTAAATCCTAAATTAATGTATCATTGTGAGAGGTAGGGTATCACCAAAGTGTGGGTTGCTTCACAAACCGAGTCCAGGCTGAGATCAAGCCTCAAATGTCTTTTTAATCATCAACTCCAAACTCCAAAACTTATAACAGAGGCAAAACTCTTCCAGCTTCTCTCAACACACTCTAACAAAAGAGAACGCCAGTCACTTTGTTCCCAGCTCATCACCAGCTTTTCTCCTTCACTCACAAAAGCTGTGAGTGACTGTCTATGACACACCCTCTCACAATGCCACATTAAATAGAGATGAATCCTTAAAGGCAGAGTAAGTGATTTCTGGTAGCCAATGTTGATATTTGAAATCACCAAAACAAACACGCCCCTACCCCAAAAGGGTCTTGCCCCTATTTTGATCGCAGGCCTCCGCTCCTTGAGTTCTCTCCAGCGCTGGAAAGCTGATCCGATATTTACACGGGTCCTACTTCTTGCCTTATCGTTCCGCAGACGTTTTCCTCTTTTGTTTTTTATAGGTTATTTTGGCTGCTTTAAGAGCTGCTGCTGCTGCTGAACATAATGCGGATCTGACCCGCAACCTATTTTCTCACAACTCTTTACCTCTTTTGACACACTTCAGGTCTTAAAGTCTCTACTAATGAGCTGACGAGTCGAATCGGGTGTGTTAGATGAGGGAGACAGTGCTGCTGCTCCAGGACAGTTTTGAAAACCACTGCATTTCAGAGACATGTTCTTTAAATCTGACTCATATATAACAAATACTTGCATGCATGCACATATTTAAGGCAGCTTTAATTGCCTTTTTGGTAACTTCATGACTTAATTGATGACATTGCATGCTCGTGGTATCTTTTGCGTTTTAATATGAAATTGAAGAGCATTTGCTACGAGTACAGTATAACGGCTGACAGGACAGGAAAATGAATCTCATTTGCCCGCAGTTCACTGTTGTTCTACTGAAGCTCCTCGTCACCTGTACCTTTTCTGGGCTCGTTTGACTAGCGCCTGGCACTGAGAGAGTGTGCGTCTGAAAAGTCTCCCATTTGATGTGGTCGTAAAGACGTCTTTACGTCTAAATGAATGCAATTAAGAGTCTAAATAAATGCAATTCTTGTCAAGAAAAAAAGAGACAGAAGCAATAGTTGTGAGTGGGGTGGACAACCCTAGCTCCACCCTTGTGTTAAATATTTTTAACACGTTAAACTGAAAAAAAAAAAAAAAAAAAAATTGTAATCGTAATGCATTAATTTTGACAGCACTATTTAAAAAAATTTTTTAACTCTTTTTCTGAAAATTTCTCCAGCACTCTCTTGTGGCCCTCTGGTGGTCCCCAGACCCCAGTTTGAAAACCTCTGCTCTACTGCATCTTTACAGTCAGCAATGATTGTTCACTTGACTGTTCTCAATCTTTTGTTCCATAGCGTCCCCAAAGCATCTCAAGATCTCTCGAAACCATGTGTGGTCAAGCACAGCACCAACGGACTTGATATTGAACAGAAACCTTCCAGCACATTCATCCGAACTGCAACCACAGAGACATGCACACCGCCGTCTACTACCACTGTGACCAGAACAGACGAACCAAAAATAACAGCATCACTATCCTCACAACCTATCAGCAAATTCACAGATGGAAAATCAGCAGCTGGTCAGAATACATCAAACCTTGTGAATGTAAGAAGTCAGAACATTGTAAAGAATGAGTCACGTGGCATAAAAAGAGCTTCGGATTCGTTCCGAGATCCAGAAGAGATTCCTGAAGCATCACGGCTGGAGTCCAGCAGAGACGCCCGCCAGCAAGCCAGAGAGAGCAAAGTGGACATGCTAGAAACTCCGCCAAGTTTTGACTCCCAGCCTCAGAGCCAAGAGGTGGTGCAGGGTGAGAAGGTCACGTTCAGATGCCAAGGTGAGTCTAGTGAACGGAAGTGACTGGGATCAAATATAGAGTTTGCAGGTTGTTTAGTTCTGGTCTGGATGCTGAGACGTGACCTGCTGCTGTCTAAATCACTGCACAGCAGCAGCAGTTCACATGTCTGCTCTTATAGCTTCTGTTCTGCCAGAAGGATGAGACTTTATGAATTCCCTTGTAAAAAGTGTGTCAAATTGTATTGAATAAGCAATACATAATAAATGATTGTTTTAATAATTTAAATAATTAAGCTATTTTTTTGTGTTGACTAACATACTAAAGCACATGTAAAGTATTTTATTATTGTAATTTTAGCTATAGTGTATTATTGAAAGTTAATATATTTTAAATTTAGTAAATTGCAACTTCATTATTACACATGTGTAATTACAAATATAGTTAAAGACATGACATATATTGGTAACACTTTATTTTAAGGTGTCCTTGTTACACATGTTACATGTACTTACTATTATAATAACAATTAATTATGCATAATTGCATGCAAGTAACCCTAATCCTAACCCTAACCATATAGTAAGAACATGTAGTTAATCAATATTACTCAGTACTTAAATGTATAATTACACTGTAACACGGACATCTTAAAATAAAGTGTAGCCCATATATTGTAAATTAATTTTAATTAGAAATAACATTAAAGTATATTTTAGTTTATCATAAATGTTTGATCATAAATGTTTAACCATATTTCACAGACAATAGAAGTAATCATGAAATTAAATATAAAGTGGGTCAAAACACTCAGCTAACTGTGTTTAATATACATTTAAATTATACTACATTTTCATTTAACTGCTATCGATTACCTACAGGTGTGCGAGGGTAATTGTTGATTAAGATTATTTCTGTAAGGATTTATTTTTTGTTTTGTTTTTGTGTTTCAGAGAAATTTTGCCTTATAGAGACATTTTACAATGATTATGTGACAGTCGGTTCTTTGATGGGATTTGGAATACAATATTTAGGAAGACCTGTAGATGTTGTGGATGTTGATGTAGATGTTGCTTTGCAGATTTACGTAGATGTTGTTAAATGAGTGATGTGACGCTTGTGCTCTTCTCTCAGTGTCTGGGTCTCCAGTGCCGACAGTGAGCTGGATGAAGGATGGAGCTCCTCTCAGACAGAGATCAGGCGTCAGCACGCGACAGGAGGGCAGTCTGCACGTCCTGTGTTTGGAGAGCGCTCACATAACTGACACGGGACAGTATGGCTGCACTGCTGTCAACACAAGAGGAAAGACTGCGGCCCACTGGATCCTGACTGTCATACGTAAGAATTGTATAGAGCTACCTTTCATGGATTGCCATTTAAGTATTATAAAAAATAAATAAATAAAATAAAAAAGCAGTGACATCACTGTCCTGTAGTGTCATGTTATTAGATTTTATGAGCTACATTTTTTTTTGTTATTTATCATTTTATGAGCTCAATATTGATTCTGAGGCTATATCAAGTAATATGCCAAAAGTATTAGATATTTATCTATCTATCTATCTATCTATCTATCTATCTATCTATCTATTTATTTTCTTTCTTTCTTTCAAAGAAGTTGCTGCTTGATGTTTTTGAGGAAACTGCAGTATGTTTTTTAAAGATCTTTTGATGAATAGAAAGTTCAAAAGAACAGCATTTATTTTAAATCTTTTATTAGAAACATTATACACATATTCACTATTTTTAATCAATGTAATGCATCATTTTTAATAATAATAATAATAATAATAATAATAATAATAATTTATTATTTTTAAAAAATCTTACTTACCCCAAATGTTTTAAGAGTAGTGGAATGGTTATTCCATTCTTATATATTTTAGTCTTGATTAAAATAAATAAATAAATTATGGACATACTATTTGTCAACAATCATTTATAAATAATAATAATAATAATAATAATATATATATATATTTTTTGTAGTAGTCTGACAGTGCCACCTATTGGTGAAACCAATTGCTTTGAGATGCTGTGTGGTTTCAGATGTTCAGTCATGTTTGTGTATTGGTGGGTGTGTGTTGTAGGTGTGAGGGTGGAGGCGAAGCCCCCGGTGTTCAGCTCTCCTCTGAAAAATTGTTCAGTATTAGAGGGACAGGATTTCATCCTTCAGTGCTCAGTGGAGGGCAGACCACTGCCTGAGCTCACCTGGCTGCACAATGGTAACAGCACACAGTGTTTGAGTGACACATTCAATTGTCAATGATCCAGTAATTCTTCACATATGCTCAGTTTAGCACCAAGCAGAAATCTACAATGTTTAGTAATGATAGTCAGACTACTTTTAACCTGCACACCAACAGACCCCTCACCGTCTGTTCTGTGTCTGTACACAGAACTAATATAGTTTATTCTTAAGCCTGGCATTGTGTAGTCTATCAGTATTGCTGGCTCTTACAACCAACTGATTTGTCATGTCACTTCAGATAAAAGCCTTGGCTAAATGAATACATGTTAATGTATCTGGCTAAATAACATTATAGTCAGTTATTATAGTCAACTAAAACTAAACTTAAAAACAAAACAAACAAACAACAAATGTTTTGTTACTTGAAATAAAATGTATGTTAACTGAAAAACATACAAACAAATAAATAAATAAATAAATAAATACTGATTTAAACTGATTTTATGTTAACTAGTTACCAAGGAAACATTCCTCATTTTAATTTAGTTTAACTTTATGTACTAAAATAACTAAAACTAAAATAAAATCATTAAAACATACAGACATATAAAAAACAGAAGCTAATAAAAATGACAAAAACTCAACAACATTACTAAAACTAAAATTAAAATGTAAACTGAACATATAAAAATAAAACTATAATAGCATCTTGTAGATAAATAAATATATTAATATAGAAAGAAAGAAAGAAAGAAAGGGTCATTTTATTTGATTGGTCATTTAGTTTCTTCCTGTATAGGATGGTTTTTAGCCTAAATGAGCTGCAATGTGGACCAGACTTGATGGCAGTTGTGTGAGGCTAAAAGTTGCAGAGGTATCAGTGAAGTGAACTCAGATGCATGAATGTGAGGTTTGTTAAATGAGTGGAATAATAGAGACTTATAAGCAATCTTGATGATGAAGTTAAGTGGCTACTTCGTAACCAGTAGAGGGCAGTTGCTGTTTTCAAAAGCCTAAAAAGAAAAAGAGAGAGAGAGAGAGAGATAAACAGTACTGGGCAAAGATGCATTAAGATGACACTTTTTTTTACTGTAATATTTCTGACCTATTATGCCAAGATATACATGTATCTGTCTCTGCTCATTTCTGAGACAGAATGGTTATGAAGGTTAGTGTGTGTGTGTGTGTGTGTGACTCTGTTCTCTGTCCAGCTAAAATTAATCTTTGCCTATATTTATTATTTGCCTATAATTGCTGTTCATGTGAAATTATGAATGCAACCACATCTCCGTCTTATAGCTGAGTTTCATAGCAACAATTGCATGTAACAGTAGTGCTGCTGTGATTTTGTCAAACTGAAATAGTATTGACATTTTCATTTCAACTTTTTTTGGTGTTCTTAAAGAATCTGAACAATGCTACCAAATCTAACACAATCGAAACAATACAGCAATAATCTAGAATTTCACATAATCCAGCATCTAATAACAATTTAAAACACATCTAAATGTCCTTGCATCCATTCTCCAAACCGCTTTCCCTACATATGGGGTTGCAGGGTTGTTGGAACTTGCAGCTTCTCGGGCCAAAGGCAGGCAAAACTTAATGTTGTGGAATATATCTCAATGTTATATCACTGTTACAACACAATGATTCTGTTTTATTGTTACATTTCCTGAAATCTCACCCCCACGATACTTGTGCTTTCTGGGTGGTTGGCAGGGTGTTGCTGTGTGGTGCTAAAGTGTTCTGAATGGTTGTTTGGGCACTGCTAGGTCTTTTCTGGGTGTTCTGGGTTGTTACTAGAGCATTGCTAGACATTTGTTAAACAGTTCAGAGTGATTTTAGCATGTTGCTGTGCAGTTGTTGGAGCGTTGTTCACTGCTGAAAAGAGTCCATTCCCAAGTCTCTGTGATATTGGTCTCTAAATGTGACTGGGGTCCCTCATTCACTGTCTATTGTGTTTTTTCAAGCTCTTCAGCTATTGTTCTTTTAAGAACTGTTCACTGAAAGGGAGCCAAAATGGTCCCTTTTGGAACATAGTTTTTTTTTTTTTTTTAATAAAACTAAAAAGTTTTTAGAATTTCAAACAGTTTAGCACAAATGGGTTTGAGAAAAAAATAAATAAAAAATAAGTGAAATTATAAGCCACATTAAAAGTGATGCTTACCTGTGAAAACACCACTAATAATGATGTAAATTACAGCATATGCAAGATAATGTTACTTCAAAGGATTCCATATTATTCAATGATTTAACAATTATTATTCAAGATTTATTCTGTTTTTGTATAGTGACTATAGATCTTTGCTTATTTACAAAAAGTGCAGTTTCTGCCTGCTTCACTTATTTGCCTTTTGGTTTAACTGTTTTAATTCCATATGAACAGTAGATTTTATGTGCTGTCCTGGATCAGACTGGAAGACTATGGTCACTATAGTGTCTTCATTACAGACAGACGTAAGTCTCTTTAGTTTGACTTTGGGTTTCCCTGAGAAACTGTGAAGCCGCAGCAGGGGCCTTTGAGCAAATATGAGACCTTAAAACCATATAAAGGCAAAACATGGATCACTCACCCTGAAATATTACGCACAGATGGATTTGGTAAGTCAGACATCTAAGAGAGAGAGAGAGAACTTACTACATCTGTGCGGGCTGATTTCGCAATTCTTGGAAAAAGAGGGGGGTTTACAAAAAGAAAGGAAAGTCAGAAAAGGAGGAAGACGAAACTTTTCCTCATGATTCCTGATTAGGAATGCTCTTTGAATCCTGGTGGTCTCAGGCACGTTTAGCAGTAAAGTCATTTACAAGCAAAAACATTTAACAATGTGAATTATACTGCAAAGAGACAATGTATGAGTAGTATGGTTGTATGCTATTCTTTACAATTCCCGTTTGCCAGATACATTCACATAGTAATCCTTCCAGTGCCACCAGAGGGCACTATCACTGGAGATCGAAATTTAGGCTGAGCTGTATATTGGTTAAATGCCTGAAATAAGGTCTGTGGTTAACATAAACTCAAGATATTTTCACGTTTTATTCTACAACATTAAATACATTGTCGTTACAGCGTTGTTTGTGTTTATAATCATGCTCTTGCAAGCTATTCTAATTTCAACTTTCAGGGAAAAAGTTTTTTTTAGCTTAATGGTGGTGAGGTTGAAGTCCTGCAATTGTGGTGAAATACAGAGTTCTGGCATGAAACTCTAGATGGCGCAGTCCGATAGGTCTAGCTCAATCTGACCTGGTGACATCATTGTCACATTGGCAGCTGATTGGTTCTCTCCTGTATAGGTAGCCAATGAGCTCGCTGCTCAATATTCAAATACTTGGCTTTTGTTTGCTTTAGCAGTTGGCAGCGCACTTCAGAAACCCTCCACCTTCCCCAGCTCCACCTGTATAGATCTGCTACGGGGTGATTCATGTATGCTATATGGGGGTTATTCATATGTGTTATATGTGCAGCAGCAGTATTTCTTACGTGCTTACAGCAGCATGTTGTGGATGTATTGATTGTAGCAAGTCTCGGTACTTGCTCTGCCGCAGCAGCAGCAGCAGCGTAGCAGATCTATTCCGCCAAGACCAAATACATTAACATTATCATGTACATTACCATGCCAATCCCTCCGAGAGTTGTCATGACAGAAGTTCATTTATAGCCTACGTTTAGTGTTTTACTTCTTAGGTTTCAAATTTGTATTTGTTACAGAGCAATAAATATTTTCTGCAATAATCCAAAACAATGGAAAATTCATACTGTGTTTTTGACGAGAGACAAAACTTCCAGGTTGGCCTTAAAAATATCATCAGTGTAATCACTGCAGCGCTCTACATTCTCGTTATGATCGCTCCAAAATAACTTTGTTTAGTGAATTTGGCTGCAATTTTATCTACATAATCTTCACCTTGTCCATCCCGGTTTTTGCATAATGGATGAAGTGTCATCCACCCTTTCTCAGTGGGATGTTACATTACAAAGTTCTCAGAACTTGATTTGTCAGTCAGTTACTAACACAGTCTCTTTCTTTTTGTTCTGTATTCGTCTATTTAGATCAGCCCGTTCCATATTCCCACACTGTGTTTGAGAATAGTGCGGCTCAGCTGACAGTTAAAGCAGTTGTTTTGGAGGATGCAGGCGTGTATTCATGTGTCGCAGTGAATGATCACGGCAGAGCTGTGTGTACAGCTCGTGTACTGGTTAACGGTAAGACACTCGTACCCTTCTTCTATATTATTATTTGGCAGCATATTCAGAATTAAAACGTGTTGGACGCTGAAGTCAGTCACACTTAACACTGTCTGAATGTCATTGCATTAGATAGAAAATATCAAACCTGGGTGATTTATTTTAAACAAATATAACTCAAACACACTTTTCAACCTAAATATTTCACAAAAAGATGTTTTAAATGATAAAACAATAGTGTTGAAAAATGTTAATTATAAATTATAATAAATTATTATACAATTGTAAATGTTAATTATGTTAATGTCATTTTATTTTTTATAACATTAGAGCCCAGGCTAAGCAGAATGTTCAAAAAATGAAATTCCACTTTTATTCTCAAGTCCAATTTTATAATCTTTTTTGAAAGTTATGATAGCTAGTTTCGGCTCGAAAATGAAATGAACTAGGAAGCCAAAGTTATTATAAACAAAAATCATATCAACAAAATGAACGCAAGCTTGATTTTATTTATTTATTTATTTATTTTTAAGCAAGAAATTAATCTCTCCTGTTATTCTGGAACCCCTGCAGTGTCCTGATTTATGTTCCATATCTAAATGCAGGGTAATAACATGGCTTTATTTGAATTCTAAATGTTATTGTATCATTCTTTCAAATGTCCTAAATACATTTCTTCCCCCAAACTCAGAAGGCATTTGAGTCATAAAAACCAAAATACTTTTTATGAGTTTTAACTTCACTCATACATTGCAGGAGGAGTTTTCTATGTGTTCCGTTGATCAGTGAATATCATGGATGTGTTTTCCGAGAGTTATTTTTAAGGTCCTCAGGATTAGAGAAACATCTTCACTCTTGCAGTCTGCGAGGCTGTCTAATGGCGGAGGTTCCATGTTTAAGTGGGTTAAAAATGTTTTAATCTTTTAATCTTTTCCCACACACATTCTGCAGTGGCTCTATCTGATCTGAGTCTCAGAGGACAAGAAGAGAAATTACCTGCTCTCCCTAAAAAGAAAAAAAAGTTTCAGGATTTTTTTCACTGATGTGTTTTCAGAAAATATGCATTAATGTAAAGGTGCAATACTATTCAGCATGCATTTAGAAGCAGTGAATAGAAAGTACAGTATATAGATGGGTATAAGGACATGATTTATTTATTCCCTAAATATTGAAGCAGCAAATGCTGCATATTTTTGTTAACTAAACTTAGTGATCGCCTGTGAATTATCATGGTATTATTTTCATTGTACAATAGCTTTGAATAATACCTTTCAAGTTACTTAAAAAAGCATAATGAATGTCCAGTTTGCTGTCTAGTATGCTGTGCTTGATAGATTAATTTGTGTAAACATTTAAATGTAAAAATAGCAATTGATGCTTTGATCATTATTTTATATAATCTAGATTAGTCTTGAAAATCTAGATGGCGCAGGCTGAAAGGTGCTTTACATGCAGTCTGCGAGCAATCACATCACTTATTACATGGGCATAAGCTGACTGGTCTCTGTATATTCTGCAGCCAATGAGCTGTTTGCTCAACATTGAAATAATATTTGCTGTAAGGTGGTCCTGTAGCACTATCAAGAGCTCCTCCGAAACCCTCCACCTCCCCCAGCTCCACCTGTCTAGAACTGCTACCGGATTAATGTTTGCCTATTCATGCAGCAGCAGCATATCTTACATGCTCACAGCCAGTAGCAAGTCCGTACTTACTCTGCATGCAGCAACAGCAGCAACAGCATTGTGCAGAACAGATCTAGTCTGACAAGACCAGACACATTAACATTGTCATATCCGTCAACATGCTAAAACTATTTTTAGAGTTGTCATGATTTAAATGAATATACAAATAACAGTTAATAAAAGATATTCCTGGTAGTACTTTATTTTACAGTCATCGTTTACATACTATTTACTTGTTATAGTAATTACATTAACTGGGTAATAACCCTACTACTATACCTAATCCTAACCGTAATCCATGTAGTTATGTTATAACTACTTTCTTGGGTAAGCACACTGTAAGTATACTGTAAGCGCACATACTGTAAAATAAAAGGCACCCAAATGATCCTCATACACTGGATTTAAAAAGATTTAATTACATTCCACCCAGGAAAAAAAAAGTGAAATAAAGTAAAGAAAATACAAATTTTGCGTTTTCTGAAAATAATCTGATTGCTGTTTGCTTACGCAAAACCCCAACGTTTAATAGATTTAGTAGATTCAAATGCATTTACTGTAAATATGAATATTGAAATTAGTGGAAAATATATTGTGTTCACTCTTGTAAACTAAACGGAAGAATCACTTTATTATTATTACATACAATATATACTTAAGCAGGGTCACAAGTGCTGCTCAACTTAATATAAGCATGGCTGTAATTTGGTTTTAGGCAGCCAGTTCATATTTCAATTGCAAACATCGCTCGGATACAAGCAATAATTCTAATGTTCTAATGAGCAGCACATACAGTGAGTATCTATGGAGACTGATTCAATCACAGTGATGATATCACTGATTCAACCTATATACATTAATTATTACCAACAAATTCTATTTTTATTTGTTAAATCGGGTAGAAATAGCTCTTTACCGTGACAACTGCAGGTTGCCACTTTTTGCAGTGTGATTTCAAAACCAAAAAAACAAAAATGAGGTTGATAATTACCATGAGGTATAATGAGGTTGATAATTATGATAATTATACAATATGAGATAAATTGCCATATATATCTCATATGCATGTGATGTTGAGGAACAGATTGAGGGAAGCACTTCTAAAACAGCTGTATTCCCAACTGACCTGATGATACGGCATCTCCACAGCCTGCAACATCCATTAACTTTCTGATGCATCATCTAATAGTTCTAACATGTTTGACACAGGATGTCGCCCAACTTTTCTCATGTAGAGTAATCATGTGACTGACTTTGGTGGAGTACTGAAGGGGACAGTGTCAGCACAGATGCTGCTCTGTGTTTATGTGATAGACTGCTGGAGATTCAATAACTAACTGATGTAAAATACAGATAGATCTGTGGTAATTTAACAAGCTAATGGTTTTAGATCATGTGAACATGATTGCCCTACAAAAATGCCCAGAACACAGAATCAGAGAGTACTTTTAAATTAGAAAATGCTGGTGTTATCACACAAGCACGAGTGCTATATTTTTTAGCAGGGTTTATGTAGTCTGTATGTTGTTCTCTAGCTAAGTCGAGTGTTAAGAGGTCTGCTGCTCCTCCTGTGACTGATGTGAGGAGACCGTCTGCCCCGGTGTTCCTCAAAGGTCTGCAGGATCTCAGAGTCATGGACGGCAGTCAGGTCACCATGACCGTGGAAGTGACAGGTATGAAAGTTCAACATGAGTTCAGCTTCTCGAACTAGGAGGAGAGCATAATGATAATTTTCTATTCTATTCTATTCTATTCTATTCTATTCCTGTGTAACTCTGAAGGGTCTCCTGACTGTGTATTTGCATGATTATGTGACCTCAGCAACATATGAACTTTCTGAAGTCATTAAAAGGGGTCATATGATGCGATTCAATTTTTCCTTTCTCTTTGGAGTGTTACAAGCTTTTGGTGCATAAAGAAGATCTGTAAAGTTGCAAAGACTAAAGTCTCAAATCCAAAGAGATATTCTTTATAAAAGTTAAGAGTCAACCACGCCTACCTAAAACGCCTCCTTCGTCGAATCCGCAGGCCGCGCCGTTCTGAAGCCCACCGCCTCTGCTCACTCAAGCCCCCGGCCTTTGCTCACTATAGGCCGCCGCCGCTCACTCTAGGCCACCGTGTGTGATTTAGCAACATCATATGACCCCTTTAAAAAAATAATAATAATAAATCAGAGCATGTTTTTTTTTTTTCTTCATTATTAATATGTCTCGACCCCAAAGCTTTAAGTGTCAGCACTGTGGTTTGTAAATCATAGTAGCCTAACTTTCTTTCACACTCTGTTAGTCAGTGCTGTTGATTATTCTTTATTTTGCCCCACTGACCTCCATTCATTTTCTCTAACCCTAATTTGCTTAAACATTTGCAAGTGTGATGTGTGTTGTTGTGTGTAGGAAATCCTGCCCCTGAGGTGGTCTGGCTGCATAATGGAAAAGAGATCCAAGAGTCTGAGGATTTCCATTTTGAGAGGAAGGGCTGTCGGTATACTCTCTTCATACAGGAAGTGTTTCCTGAGGACACAGGGACATACACCTGTGAGGTGTGGAATGACGCCGGAGTCGCTCGGACTGAAGCCTCACTCACTGTACAAGGTACAAATCACACTGTTCCTTATTATAAACATTACTTAATTAGATAAATTACCAAAGCAGGTATGATCTACAACTAGACACTGCCAGAGTCTTTTTTTTCTAACTAACTCCACTTTTTCAATTACTTTTAAAGTGATATTACGGTGATATGATCTTATAATAAATATTATGATATAATAGTTTAAATATGGATGTGAATATCTGGAATTTCTTTTGTTGCTCACAGAGCCTCAAGATGGAGTTCAGCCCTGGTTCATCACTAAAACCAAGTCCTCTACCGCCTTCTTGGGTCAACACGCTCTGCTCTCCTGTGCGATCGCTGGCGACCCCTTCCCAGAATTCCTCTGGATGAAGGATGAGCAGGTAATATCTGGAGATGGGGACTTTGAGATCCTACAGAAGGAAGATGTTGTCTCATTGCTCATCAGGAAAGTGAAGACACATCATGCTGGAAACTATGAGATTTATCTCAAGTAAGATTTTTATGTTTATTTATTTTTCATTTTTAATTAAAGTCATTGTTCATGTAGTTTGAATTCAGTATATGTATAGTTAGAGATTTAGATATTTGGTATTTGGTGATGTTGACTCACTTCGAGAACTTAACACATGCAGTAGTTGTTAGTACTCAAAAGTGAAGTTTATTTTAATAAAAAAATAATTAAGTTTAAAAAATGTTTTTGTTCATTAGGGTTTGGATTTGGGTTTTATTTTGTTGATTCTATGTAAAGATGTGAAATATTTGACAGTTTGCCCCAAAATCAAACTGTATCAAAGGCATTATATCCCAAATCAAAACTTTTTAAAATTATTATTATTATTACTATTATTATTAATAATAATTTATTTATATTTATATTTTTGCATTGTGACATTATTTTTATGATGACTTCTTTAAATTCTAATGACCATAAAAAAATAATAATATAATATAACAATGAAAATATCAATATAATTTTAAACTATTTCAATTATGAAGTCAAGTCAAGTCACCTTTATTTGTATAGCGCTTTATACAATACTGATTGTGTCAAAGCAGCTTTACAGTGTCAACAGGAAAATAGTTTGTCAATAATGCAAGAGGACAATAACAAAGAGTGATTTTTCAGATAAAGTATTGTTACGTCATGGTAGTAATAATAAGTAATAATAAGACTTTGCATCACAGTATTTTAACTGTAAGAAATGAGAATTAGATGAGAATCATTTATAATGAGAAATGCACGTTACACATAGAGAAAAAAAAAATGGCTCTAATTTCTGGTGGGTAAAATGTTTTCATGAGATCCATGCATGCAAGTTCACATGCAATGAAATTATGCTTAGAGACAGTGCTGTCATATCAGGAAAGGTTGTGTTTTTTTAGTTCTTCATTTACTTTTTCAATTCAGCATTTTACCATAAATTAACTTAAGCGGCCAAAACTCTTCTGTTGATCTCAGGAATAAAGTAGGAGAGTGCAGGTCAGTGGCCACTCTGCAGGTCAGCGAGGACCCCATGCCATCTGGTGACAATTCTCATAAATGGTACATTCTCCTTCTATTCTTGTTCTCCTCTTCCCCAACGCTATATTTACAGCCCTTACCCCTCAACCCCTGCACTAAATCTACATAATCTCTCTTTATAACCAAACGCTCTGTTTATGCTTCCTCACTCAGCTGTGCTGTTGTGTGGGTTAGTCTAGGGGCCTCATTCTGGTCTCATTTCCCTATAAGGTCTCTGAAGTCATCTCTGATGCAACTCTGTCGTGTTGAACTAACTCTCCCCCTCGATTAAGCTGCTCTCCAGTGTGGGCTGAGCTAGCTGGGACTTTAACCATCTCTGTATTTTCTCCACTCTTCCTGTGGCAGCCGAGGGGTGGAGAGGACTGCACCAGGCAGGGGAGGACAGCCAGAGACTCCCAGCGCTGCAGCGTCGCTCTCTGAGCCACTCTGGGAACACGACAGTCAGGATCAGGAAGAAGAGGAGGGGTGTGCCAAACGGCGTATAGAGACAAAAGAGCATCGGGAAGACCAGATCCGTCAGCAGGAGGCCGAGCAGATCGACTTCAGAACTGTGCTCGGCCGCAAGGTCACCACTAAGAGTGTCTCTGAAGAAGACCTGAAGGAGATCACGGCCGAGCAGATGGACTTCAGGGGGAACCTCCAACGGCAGATCAAGCCCAAGACCCAGACAGAAGAGGAACGCAAAGTCAACTCTCCACAGCAAGTGGACTTCAGAGCAGTGCTGGGAAAGAAAGGAAGCCAAGGCCCAAAACCTGCTCTTGGATCCTTAGTGAAAACACAACCCAACAAAACTGAAGCTGTTGACTTCAGATCGGTGTTAGGCAACAAGAAAAAACTACCAAGCCAGGACAGGAATGGAGAAAGCCAAGGTGATAAAGACACCCGAGGAAAGGAAAATGATGTGAATTGTATGGATGGAGGGATAAAAGAAAAAACAAAAGCAATTGGAAAGAAAGAGCCCATTTTTACACAAAAACTGAGTGACGTGACGGTGTTGGATGGGGAACGTTTGCATCTACAGTGCCAACTTTCATCTGAGTCTCCCGCTAAAGTGACATGGACGCTTGATGGAAAACTCATCAAACCATCCAAATTCATCGTCATTGCTAATGAGGGTAAGTGTTGCAATTCACATTTGATTTTACGTAAGATGACTAATTTGTCTTTCATGAATAAAGTTTGACGTTGGGGTGTTTATCAGGGTCTAGATTAGTTTATATGCTTGAGTACATGTTTCAAGCATGAGCAGACCAGATGTAGTCACAGTGTGATATTAATTTTATACTGCAGTTCTTTAAACAAGAAGTTAATATTGAGTACCTGACATTTCAAACAGCCAACTTTGCTGCTGAGAATCACAAAGGTTGGTTGGAACGCCACAAATGCAGGCAATCACTCCTGAAACACCACTTATCCAATCAAGAGGACCAGAACTAAGTGTTACATAATTGTCTTTAAACAGTAGTCACGTGACACTCTGGCTTCAGCTGTGATAAAATGGCAGGAGTGTAACTGGATAAGGGTTTAATCAAGGTGTTTCATGATGCGACAGGGCTATCTATAATGGTGTTTGAGAGATCTGCAGAGAAATGTAGTGTGGAGGTGTAGAGTGAGGGCTGTATCTCTGTGGCTTGGACCCCTGTGTCATTAACAGCATGCTAACCCTTTCTAATGGCGCTTTTCCACTGCGTGATATGACTCGGCACCGCACGGCTCGGTTCGGCTCGGTTTGCGTTTCCACTGCAGTTTAGTACCGCTTTAGAGTGGGCGGGATTATTCACATGTCATTACAGTTGCGCCGCCTCTACTGCCGCGACTCCTGAAAAACTTTTTCATTCCGCGTCGCCCATCAAGCTCGCTGGATCCGCTCCTCTGCTATCAACGAGAGGAACGTCTGTACTTCCTCAACAGACCACGAAACCAATTTTTTTGGTTGTTAAAAAAAGGTGCGCTCATTCAAAACAGTTGCGTTTGATCCTTCGCTGGCTGTGCTGATTTAAATCTAGCGGTTCTGTTGTGTTTGTGTTGCAAGGTCAGTGACGCAGGTAGTGACGATTCTATCTGGCCAATCAGTGATCAGCAGAGTTTACATGTAACGGTACGGTTCACTTGGAACCTCAACCGAGGTGGTACTAAAAAAAGTACCAGGTACTGTACCCAGTGGAAAACCCCCCAAAAGTGAACCGTACCAAACCGTACCGTGCCGTACCATGCAGTGGAAAAGCGCCATAAGAGAATGAAAGACTTCAAATGAAAGACTTCATTTGACTCAAGTATATCAATGTTGTGACCAAGACAAGTTGACCAGTGTACTGGACAAATATCTGATTGAATATGCATGTATGGATTACAGCAATATTGGAGGAATTTTCTTCTTTGACAACTACCAACATCATTTGTCATTTGCCCCATATATGTCTTTGACATCATGCAACAGATACTTTCAAAATAGGTTAACTTTCTCTTAAATGAAGGGACCTTCGAAGAATAACCATTAAATGCATGTGTATGTGTGTGTGAGCAGGTGGTAAGTGCTCTCTGACCATTGATAAAGCTCTACCTGAGGATGAAGGAAAATATGTGTGCAGGGCGGAGACCAGCGAGGGCAAGACAGAGTGTTCCTGTACGGTCCTAGTGGACGGTGAGTATATCTCATTACATACCAGTAAAATAAATGAGTTTACAGCATGCTCTTCCTGTATCCACTCTATGAAACTCAATAGGCTCTCTGAGAGATGAGGTGTACTGTAACCCTATGTGTGAAAAGTGTCAAAAATGTAGTTATTTTGAATGTTTGAATGAATTTTACATTTAAATGTTAGGTTGGTTTTTTCATCCATAATATTCTCAGAGATAATTATGAGAATATTATGGTTTCAGTCTGTCTGTTTTTGGGCTGGGCAGTGTGTTTGACCATTTCCCTAGAGTCCCTGTCTAAGCTCTGCATCTTCCGGTAATTACTGACCAGATCAGCCTGCGTCACGTCCCTTGCATGTCCTAAGATCTCCCTTTTTCACTTTGCATGTCTTTACAGCTGTCTCATGTTCTGACAGTCATCTCTGGATCTCTGTTTAGCTTTACAGACCATGTCCCAATGACCATCTCTAGATTTCTGTGTCTCTTTTTCTCTGTTTTGGGTTTCAGGACATGTCTTCACAACAGTTTTGGGTAACACTTTATTTTGATGGTCCCTTTTGAACATTCTACTGACAATAAGTAATGTTGCACCTACATGTCTACTAACTCTCATCAGAGTATTAGTAGACTGTTTGCTTAATATCTGCTAACTCTTTATTGTCATGGTCTCCCAACAGACATTCTACTGACTATAAGCAACTTTGCAAGTACATGTAAACTTATTCTAACCCTAACCCTACCAGTCTACTAATACTCTACTAATACTCTAATGAGAGTTAGTAGACATGTAGGTGCAACGTTACTTATAGTCAACCGAATGTGTTAAAGGGACCATCAAAATAAAGTGAAACCCAGTTTGGAATCTCTTTGTTCCACTTTAAATGATGTATTTATCTGTCTTTGGATCTATTTATCATCATTCAAAAGACATGTCCCAACAGCCAGTCTTGATTTACGGGACATCTCCGCAACCATTTCCAGGTCCATATGTCCATGATAACATATTCTGACAGTCACCTCTGTTTCTGTTCTGCTTTATAGGACATGTCCCAACAATCATCTCCAAATCTCTCTGTCCCTACAGCTCTTTCTGTCTATCTGTTCTGCCCTCCAGGACATGCCCTTACAGCTGTTTATAGATCTTTCTGTCCTGCTTTACTAGACTCGACTCTACAATCATCTTGTGAGATGTCCAACATATATAATACATGTCCAGTTTATCTATCCATTGCAGATCTCTTTGTCCTGTTTTTGACAACCACCACTGATCTCTGTGTCCTTGTGGTTGTCACTAGATCCCTCCATCCCTACAGCCATCTCTTTCTATATTCTGGTTTCCAGGACATGTCTTTACATCTGTTTATAGATCTTGTGTCCAGATTTCACAGTCCTTCTTTACTGGGCATGTCCCTACAGTTTTGTCTAGATATCTCTGTTCTGCTTAACAGGCCATGTCCCTCCAACCATCACTAGTTCTCTGTTTCCTGCTTTACAGTCATGTTGATATTATTTCATTGCTTTATTATTATCAGTTACTTGCATAAACATCTAATACACCTTCTCCTAAATTGGCGTCTGCAGTTTTAACAGCTAAATTCCACTTTTTAACCTCGGGTTGAACTTTCTGGCCTTTGTTTTGGTCTTGGCAATAAGCGGCAGTAATAAAATGCCAATGAACCCTCAAAAGAATTACTTGATGTAATCAGCTCAGATAGTTTGGGACCCTTTTTTTTTTTTT